TGCTCTCCCCATAATTCAACAACTGGATTTTGAGCAATGAAGATTATTATTGGCGCAGGTGCAGCCTTGCAAATAATTTAGCCAGCCCGCAAAGAGTGGCATTTTCTTGTGATATTGCTGTACTTTTGCCACTGCATTGCGAACACTCACAGTGATGATCAAATGGGGAGCTTTGCTCGGGAGCTCAAATTTTGCCATATTGCGTTGCAAATATCGATTACAGAGAAAAATTGAAAGATCATTCGTCAAGATCATTCTAAACTTGTTAGGCCAACTCCACAATAGCACAGCGTATGATGGTCGGTGTGCGAAAACCTGTTTAGCCTGTACACCATATGTACTTAGACATTACACTTGGAGCATATAACTTGGCATATGAATAAAATCAGAAATGGGAAGAAAAGTTTCTTGCACGGGGTCTCTCTATCTCTATACTTAAAGTTCACATGTATGTGGTTAGAGATCTTGAGGTTGGGTACCGGGAGGAAGGAAAAAAGATAAAAGTTCACCATTAACAAGGTGAATTGCTTGGCGCTTTTCAGTTGCTCAGGCACTGCATTTTCTTCGGCCCCGCGATACAACCCAGGCCGTACATGTGAGCAATCTATAACTACACACCACACGACTAAAACAACTCAATGAAGCCAATTTATGAATGAACGCTGTGCTGAAAATTGCCAACCAGGCGGGAGGATCACTCTGGCACACCATCACGGCACGGCCAAGAGAGGTACTCTTCCAACTAGAAAACTAGTCTAGTTTCCTCTTCGATCGCGTCGCCACCAATCTATCAAATGAGTCTCTTATTATGGGTAATCAAATTATTTTTGTACGTAACATACACAGGTTCTGATTTGAATGTTAATGATCATTTTACGTGAGCTCAAAATGGGCGTCCGATTGGCAATTTTATGCTAATGACAGCACCTGAACTTGAATGGTCACTCGAGATACCTCAATCTCACAATTACCTTCTGCCTGCCTTCTCAGAATTAATGCATATGAGAATATTCTTAATCCCACAATCATTCCACCCAGTGTCACTCCACCGAGCGTCCGCCCGAGGGCCGAGCTGCGGTGGCTGGTCAGGGGATGTTTGTGCGCGGTGGAGGCGCCGGGTGGAAGGTGTGAAATTGAACGCCTATTTGAGCAATACCCGGTGAACTGTGCCGAAAGGAGCGAAGGCTTGTGTATGTGGCCCAAAATTGCATTTCCACACGCTGTAACCGTTTGACGTGATTTGCATTCATCTATATTCACTTAGCAGCTCCGCCACAATCGCCAGAATGAGATTGGTAGCATCAATATAGTGGTACCTGTTGATCGTCTCAGCAAACTGAATTTACTCATTGAGCACTGGAGTTGAGTTAGTTTCATCAGTTTCATCTACCTCCACTAAACATCATGTATCCGCCCGTGTACATTCCCGAGCACATAGGCACCATGCAGCAGTTCGACTGTGCGCTATACGTTTCCATTGCAAGCCACGGATATGTATATTATGCAATATTGTATTTACTATATCACCCGGTGCTGGGACACACATACCCCGTTGAGATTTTGAATCAAATTTTGCGCTTCCACTCTGGCATTTAGCCAAGTCGGGGGATGAACACTCTACAAGTCCTTAATGAGGCTGATAATATTTGCTACATGAACTTCTACTCTCATTTCCACCACCAAACATCTTTTTGTCTCGAATCTCGTCCGTTTGCCGAATTGTTGGCCGAAATACAAAAGAAATAATCAAATTGGTGGGAAGTGAAACTCTGTGCACGGAAAAGTGTAATATAACTTCATTTTTCTACAGGATTATTTGAAAATATCACACTGGTTTTGTGCCAGTCAGATTAAATAATAGTTTCCATAAGTTTTTTTTGCTATCTTCACATAATATCTTCTTTATTCCTGAGCTCAATTCGTGCATTTGCAACGCATGTGTCAATTTAGTAGGATTTATCTCTTGCTGCGAAAGCATTTCAGAAATAATGCAATCTTTACAGCTGATAACAAATTCTGACATGACAAACAAAATTAACCTCATTTGGTAATTTCTGCTGAAAAATTCATGAATTTATCTTGAATAAAATATATACACTTCTGGAGAAAGAGAAAAATATGTATACACTCTTCTCGTGTGTACAGAAGATTTTAAAATATTTATCTCCACCCAATAAAATATATGTGTAACATTCTTCTGAGTTCAGGAAAAATGAATTGAGGAAATAGTATACAATCCAGCTGAATGCGATAAATCCCCCGAGTAAATGACTCGAATATGATGATGTTGATTGAAAACTCTCAATTTGCACTCGAAATATGCGTCTACGTTTTCCTGCTCATGTCATTTGCTATTCATCAATTGAGATATTAGCGCCATAAGCCTAGTTTTCTGCTGTCGTGAGATCACCCTGTCTCTTCCAAGTCCACCGCATGCACCGCGAAACGACAGTAGTCGTCTCTTGAGTGCAGAATCGCCGTGCACAACAAGTTTCGTACGATTTCAAGGTGGCTTCGGTATAGTTTTAGAAAGGAAGCATTTGTATACATCTACCATAAATCCATAATCAAAATGTAGTTCAGGGCAATGCAAAATATGCATCACCTATGCATATGACGGCGTGCATAAAAATGCACACTTTGAGGTGTTTTTGTGTGTACAAATGACCGCGAGTAATTGGGCAAATTCAGAACATGGTGACCTTTGAGAATGCAATAACAATTATGGCATACACTCTCTAAAAGAGAATGCAGCCAAGCTCACAGCCATTGTGCGAGTCTCCGCGGTTCTAATGTCACAATTCTAACGCTCAAAATGACGAATAGCCGCTGCAGCAGAGCAAATCGAACTCTGATTCGCACTCATTTTATTTCACACTAAATTGATTTAGGAGACCTTTTTGCGCCGCTTACAATAATTCGCCCTGGCATGTGTTCGAGCACACCTCTTGTCGAAGTGCACGGAAAATTATGAACATTCTTTATTGACATTCCGCGGAGTGGTTCTGGGCTGGGAGAACAGTATTTTTTTCGCTGAATTAGACTATTAGTGGCACCCCATCTGAGAGCAAGAATATAGAGCATTTTTCCCCCTATAGATTTCCATTTTCCCAAGTTTCGCTGAAATTTCTAGTGTACAATCTTTCGCGAATATCTCGCCTTGAGCCCAAGTGCGCCGCGATAAAATTTCAATTTCGCCATGCACTCGAAGCGGCCGTATAGAATGGCAGTGTGACACACAAAGCCAAATTGTATTAAAAAGAATCGTCATCCAAACATGACCGAAACCTATCTGGTGACTTGTTTCGATGCGATTTGTACAAATGTGCATTGACTGTTTCTAAAATAGTCGTATGCACATATGCCCTCTTGTCGTCTCATCGCCATTGCCATTTAGTGTTCCTCTCCTTTGTGTTTTCGCGAACACTGAATGCTTTATTTATTCAAATGCAGAAGCATTTTGCACATACGCGCATACGGTGTGGTATACTTGTCGAAAAATTTGATGTACATCATACGCTACATGAATACATTTTTCTTACAATATGCACTCTTTAGACATACGCAGTCTCTGCATACATCCAAACACGTGACGTATTGTTTCGCCAGCCCAGAGATGCAATTTCACGACAGCGTCCCTCTCCGCGCCGCCCGACAGTGCCACTAAAATTAATCCGGAGGGAAATTATATCGTGAATGCGTGTTTTTTCGTGGATTCTATGTCATTCTGCTAAACAAGACAGTATTTCTGAAAGAGTCATCCGGAAAGTTAGTGGCCTCTTTTCAAATTGGAACGTCATTCAAATTGAAATTACAGTGGAGACGCCTGGTATATTACAAACTCTCGCTAATAAAAAATAGAACGTTTCGATTCAAAGTAAGGGAGTTATTCCACTAGAATTACTAGCATTGAACTGAGCACTTTGAACGATTGTTTTTGTGATCTTTTGAGACATTGAAGCTCTTTCAAGTGAACCATTTTGTTCTCGTCATTATTAATTATTTCATGACTTTTCGATTTGAACCATTTTCATCCCACAATTAGGTGGAAATATGACTTTGAAAATCTATGCTCAAATTTTGTTGCTAAAAAATATCATATGCCCAGTTTAATGCTAGCACTCGTAGTGGACTATCATTCAGGAGGTAACTATCTTTTGGCGCAACCCTTTTCATTACGCGAGTGGCTTCTGTATGATTTACACAGAGTGCTAGGGGTGCAAACTGGCAAAGAAAGTGGCGAAAGCTTGGCGATATCCTAGTTTTTTAGGGATCCATCGGGAATAAGATTAGCTGGCGGGATGAAATTCGGAAGGCATTGTAATGCAATTAATGACCTCTCTCTTGTTTACCTTCTTCCGCAGCCTCACAGCAGCGACAGGCGACTCGGCGCAGAAAAATTCCCTGAAAGACTCTCATTTGGACGGCGAAGAGGATAATTTTTTTCTGATTGAATTATCCGTTTCTCAGAAACGAAATTTTCCGGGGAGGAAAAAAGAGCCATCGCCGGAGTGGAGCAGCAGTGGATATATATGTGGAGTGTCGTATAGCGCGGGTAATACATGTACAGTGGTTTATATGCCAAAAGTGCATACGGCGTCGTTGTGTCGCTCACAAATCGATGTCAACGGAACAAGTGCGAATGAATAGAGTGGATGTTGCTGATGATGGTAGCGACGCGATGAAGAAATCCACCGCCACGACCACCGGCAGCGGGAGCAGAGCAGCAACAGTGGAGGCGACCGGGGCCGGCTGGCAATTGGGGCAAAGGAGATGAGCGTATAAGTGCATCGAGAAGCCACCCCACAGCGGGCTGCATCCCCCGAGTGGTTGCAATAGAGACAACTGCTGGTGCACCAACCCCGTACTTTGTCTCCGTGCGCTCACGGCTCTAACTATCCCTTGCACCCACGGCACTCGCTTCACACAGCCACAACGTGAAAATGTTTGGTGATTCCCATTTGTTGAGTTAGAGTTTTTTGTTTGCTCCTCCGTTCCTTTCTTTTTTACGCCCCCCGCAACACCCCGCTTACACCCCCTCCCCCTCCTCGATCCCCGACTGGAGGGAAGTTGACGAGAGAAAAAAACAATTTTTGTGTGTGCAAGAAAAACTGAGGCAACAGGATAGGGAAAAAAGATGACTTTCTTCTCCGGTTTTCGTGTTATGAGAAACATTTTTCAGTGATTTTCCATAGCGCAGGAACAATTTCATACTCGAGCACTAAGAACTGCGATTCCGTTGCACTGTGTTCTTCGGTGGTGAAAAAAGTGGAGAGACATTTTCCCAGAAATTGCCCCACGGAGAGAAAAAAGTAATCGATAGAGGGTGGTTTTGTGTGGTGTACAAGTTTCAAATAGACCATCCCCAGCTACAGTGAGGAGTTGTTGAAAAACTGCAACAGAGACCATCACGTGTCGTTCGCGAACAAGTGTCAGTGCGGAGGAGACGGCAAATCCTCACGAAGCGAGACCCAGGGAGAGACAAAGAGTGGACAGATGTGAGAAATCATGATAACTGGTGACTTGACTATCGTGAAGTGCGATAAATAATTTCTACGATCATATCAGATGCACACAAAGTCGTCGCAAATGTTCGTGCCATTACTTGTTGCGTCACACTGTGCTGTGACGTCAGACGGAAACGCATTTTTCATTTCACCGTTGCCACTATTTGGACAGTTTTTCGCAAATATCACGGCCACCGCGACGAGTACCACAGACACTCAATCAATAAGTGAAGTTAACGAAAAAGCTATCGGTAGCCGACAAAAATGGCGGATTGTTCTTATGCACGTTGTGTTCAAGAGAGAAGATTTATAAAGCGTGAACTGCAGAAATGGACTAAGAGCATGGTTTATATTGTAGGTAAGTTGGAAACTCTGTGTAATTATGCCACTGAAGCCCCCTAATAAGTGCCACCTGACCCGCATTCGCCGAAGATGGCGCTGCTGGCCAAATTTCTCAGCTTTTACTCCCTGTTGCACGGCCAAATTGAATTTAATGCAATTATTCCACTGTCACGGAGCATTATACTATACCATCCCTCACGTACGGAATGTGTTCGAGTCCTATCTCATCTGGCGCTATTCGTCTCTCTCGGCGGCAGGAGAGCACAGCGCTATATAGAGACCTGTTGCCAAAATGTTCCTGTGTTCATTGTGTACACAGCCTTATGTACAGCCATACAACCATATAGACTCGAGTCGAAAATGTTGAGAAAATTCAAGTCCTCACCCCAAAATGTCTGGGCTATGTCTGTCCAAAGTATTACGCCACAGCAGCAGAAGAATTACGCCCGATGCTCTGTAATGTACATTTGTATGAGTATTTTTCCGTGGCGATGCTCCGTCATTAGCACATTTCTTTCCCTGCAAAGATGATCAGGCATTTTCGGGAGATACTCGGAGTTCTGCACCCGCACTTGTAGGCACGTTGGAATCGGGTCTCTGGCAATATTACCTCAATTGAACCATAAAATGTGATAAAACACATAACTTGTATGTATTTTCCCCTTTCAATGTCTCTTTATCATCTCACCATCTCTCTTCCTCTTCCCGCAAAAATCCCAACTTATCCAGCCATCGCTCGTCTCTGCCGATACTGACACATCTCTAACACTGTATTCATGCATACAGAGATATTTCCGGCAAATTACCAACTCACCTTTCGGGATACTTAAAATAAATTTGCAAACAGTCATAAATCATGATGAAAATAAGAAGAGAAACCACAATTGATCGCTATAAATCATTAGTTTTCCAAGAAATACCATTAATGGAAAACTTCATTATAAATGGCACTTTGAGTGACACTATTTTGAATTCACGTGAATGATGATTTTCCTACAAAGTTGCATTTTTTTCAGTCAGACGCATATTAATGAGAAATCATTGGGAACAAAGAGGAATTCTTGCTCCTCTGAAATTTTCATGATATCGAGAAAATTGGCCTTGTAAAATTCAGTTCATTAGACAGTGGAATATTGCTAATATACCACTAATAACAGCCATCAGCTTGGTGTGGCGCTCAAAAGCGATAGGCTGGGGAGGTGATCGAACTCTTTTGAACCGATCCGATATCCCCTTTTCGATATAACGCCAAATACAGCAGAGCGTCTCCTCCTCGATGCGCTGCCCAAAGTTTGAGGTTCACCCCCTGTCTCACCACACCCCCGGCCGTCGATATTGCCCAAGAGGCACTTGCAACCAGAGAAGGATGCGTGCGTTTGTAGTGCTTTCTCTCTCGCCTCCTCAGGGCGACGACTGCGACGACGACGTCGTGTGGCCGTTGGGGTAGGGCGGTGGGTGGGCAGGCTATTTTCGCAGTAGGGATTATTTCATTTTCGGAAAGGGGACAGACGCGTTTTTTCTGCGTCTGCCACTTCTGCAGTATGCGGAAAAATCATTAGTCGAGATGCTTTTTCGTCACACCAACTCCTTGGCTTGGGCGAACTCTTCTCGCCACCAATTTAAGGCGCCGATGCACATCCACGACTCTCCGCGACGCAGCAACGGCCTCCACTTCCACCCAACTTTGCGCCAGCCAAATTGGGACTGACAAAGGACTGAGTTTTACAAATCGCCGCTGGTTAATTCAACAAAGTTCTTTGTATGTAAAACCGGTGAAATTCCGAACGAAAAATTGTATTCTAGAAGATGAATTGCAGCCTAGACGTTGCATCCAGTGGGAAAAAAAACAAACCTTTGTTGTTGGAACACATTTTTGAGCTCAGTGAATGCAAAGTTAGAAATCGGGAGCGAGAAATGCGACGCCTCACACGGAATTCACTGTTTATTAACGTTATAGCGATATTTGGGATTTGAGATATCGAACGAGGGATATGTATAATGTATATGCCAGGACAAACAGAGGAAGCGCAACCAGTAGTCAGTTGGAGCATCCATTTGGATATGCTACATTTCGTTACCCCATTCGTCGCCACGCTGAAGCGACATTCATTGAAAAGTTGTGCGGTTCGGAGTACAGTGCTGAAGTTTTGTGAGGATCTCTCTGGGGGTGTCCCACCCGTCCTGCACACGTACACACTAGTTTTGATAATGCCGTTCACCATGATTTCCACGATGCTAATGATGATGTGGTGGCTGCTGAGGAGTGCAGTGCAGCAGCATGCTGTTGAATCACGGCTCCGATGTTGGGAGGGTGAATGAGAAAGATACAGAGTGGATCAACAAGTAGTGAAATTGTTTAGCATCATGATAGTTTTCATAGAATTGCACTGACTCTGTGTACACATGTACTTAATCGCGCCCTGCGAGGTACACAAATAGCGCATCGTCGATTTTCATTTCGCTCGAAATCACGATTGACACAATTGTTTGGCGGATACATTTCCAGGAAAGTGTCTGGGTGATCTCATTCGTTGGTGTTTTGGGGAAATAAGAGCGCATTTGTTTTGCAAACGGACAATGGAGAAACATCACAAAATTCCTACCTTATCTCAAATCTATCGTCACCTTTCGCGGCATTTTGAGTGGCGAGAGAGAACAGTGGCATGGAAAAAAGGCGGCGAATGAGAGACGATACGAAATATGATTTTTTTCCTCTTCCTAGCGCGCACTTCTGGAATATTCTGCAGTGACTTGTGAATATTAAATTTATTTCCCCCAAGAGAAAGAGAGAGAGATGAGGACTCGAAAGAGTGTGGCAAGAATGAAGAAAATCTTGCTGCACACACAAGCGAAAAATGGTCACTCACACTTTCTGGTCGGCCCCCCCCCTCGAGAACATCATCTCTCCTCCTCGCGAAATGCACACACAGTGGCAGCCGTAAAAAAGCACGTCACCAGCAATTGCACATTTTCAGTACTCCACTGATGATGATCAGCACAGCGACAAGAAACACCAACGACACAATGATAATAAGGAAAATCTTCAGATATCGCCATCTCGCTCTGTAATTACACACGGCGACGACGCGATGCATTGTCACTTTCCATTCACACACACTCACGCGCGTCGCATTTTCTCATTCCATCGCACGCACACACATCCACTGCAATCGATGCATTTCCACTCACTTCACTTGCAGTTGCAGCTTGTGCAATTATATGCGCAAACGTATACGATTGTCTCACTCTGTGCGACTTCGCACTAATGTGGTGGGTACACTGGGAAAAATGCGACATGACGAATTGTCGGCTGGATGCAGTCTATCTGAGGAGAACATCTTCCAGTGTAATTACGCTGATTTACGACAGTATTCCCGAAATGACTCAGTTGGTCCAAAAATGGCGGCGCAACGGCAAGTGTGGATGGCAGAGGCAGGATTCTTTCCGGGACATTTTGGCTTCCCCCCTTCGAGGGGACTTGCTGACCTATAGTCCACCGTGTACGGCCATGGATATTTATCCCTTTTCGCGGGGCTATGACTCCGGCCACTCGACATTGTCCGTCCTGCTCTGGGTGTGCGCGAGTGTTTGTAACTACCCAGAGTTGGGGAAAAGATGCAGTTGGTGTACTGTGAAGTGCGGGCCCACTACAAGCATATGCTGGAAAATGGCAATGTATTGTGTCCCGATTGGTGCTGTAGACGTAGATATACACACTTTATATGATTTTCGCTCCGAATTGAATGTCGATGCGATATATTTTCAGTCGCATAAACGCAACGCACCGATATGCAACGGGACGTTTTTCGGGACGCGCCCCGAATCGATCCGAGTGCGTCCGAACGTGTCCGAAGAGATTTTCACATACCGCCGGGCCATAGTTTTGCGTGATTTGAAATTTTGAAAATTTGACCAACTGTTTTTCACTTATTTTCCGCTATTTTCACGCCAGAGGTGACAACCAAATTGCAGCAACTCCTCAATGGTATTTGCGGAATTTGGCAGTGGAATAAATGGCTATTCGCGAATTTTGGCGGCCCACAATTGGACATTCTCTGCAATAACTTGCTCAATTGTACTTGATAAAGCGCATCGAGTGATTTCGTGATAATTTGCTGTTCAGTTCAGTCTCTGGAGACAGTGCGTGAAGAGTTGAGGGTTGGCGATCGCACGGCGTCTGGTCCACTGGGTTGATGGCCACCATATGTTTGGGTATGAGTGTGAGATGGAGACGCCTAGTATCTCATGCCCATCACCTACAATATGAACTGTTGTGCACTGTTTGGGTTATCCACTTTTTTGCCACCATATTATCAGTCAATTTCACATCACCGGACGCCGAGGACGGCGCAATTTTCGGCTCAATTCTCCACGAAAGTCCCACAAGACGGGACTCCCCGAAGCTAATACAAGCCCGTCAGAGTCTCTCCATGAATTCGCGCTGCTTCCATTATCTCAGGCGGTTTCTTGAAGGTTTTCACCACACATCGCATCATTGTGCCAACACACTGTGAATGCTCCACAAAAGTGCGATGTGTCAAATTGCTTAAATGCAGTTGAAGAATTTTTTCAACCCTGATAACATTTATTTAAATATTTAATTTGTCTGCTGATACACCCATGGCAGTTTGTATATGGAAGTTATGTGACGACAGCAGAAATTGTGCATTTCTTATCTCATCCCCGAAGTGCGTTTCGATTGCAATTGCAATTTCTCTCGTGGCTTTTGCTGCCCCTCCCTCTCTCTCTCTCTCTCACTCTCCTCGCACTCAATCATTCCTTTTTTTTGTGTGCCCCGTCCCCATCCCAGAGCGTATCGTTTGATAAATTTTTCACAATTGCTCTCGTTGCTATTTCATATCTAATTACAACGCCAACGATACGTCTTGATATGTGCAAAAAGTGAATTGCACTGTGCCAACACAGATGCACTTCCTCGGCGAAATATGACAATTCATGTGGAGTGCTAATTTTTTAAAATACCTGATTAGTTTCGCGCAGAAGCTCGACGCTGGT